CTGGGGATTGCGCTGCTGCCCGCCCTGGGCTGCACATCGCAGGCCCAGATCCCATGCTGGGACAGGCCGGCAGCTGGGGATCCCGCTGCCGCCCACACCAGGTGGGGCGGCACAGCAGGAACTTCCTGCAGTATGCAAATTAGCCGCCATCTTTGTTGGCAGTTGATATGCATATCGTGCTGATTAGCCCATGGGAGACATAGCGAAGGTACGGTCAATTACCATGTTTGTCTATTATTAGATAGGATATAAACTATATAAATAAATGGTACATATTATTTGTAGGGGTTTTTTGTTTGTTTTGTGTTTTGAATCACGCATCTTACCGAAAGAGGAAAGAATAACAGGAAGGCAGACAAGGAGAGTGACTACTCATTCTCTGATGCATAAATAGCATACTGTATGCCTGCTCAAGACAGGGCTTGAGGTAAATACCAGGCATGCAAGTGTGGTAGGAGAATTTAGTGAAATACAAAGTTTTATCTGTTCTGCATATGTGTGTCTTTTCTCTTTAAAACAAGCAAGGGTTTTGGCAGGGCTGAGAGAAGAGGCATCCTGATGTCAAAGGCCCTTATATCTTCATAAAAGTCGAAAGCAAGTCTGGGAAGAGGTTATGCCCTGAAGAGGTTGGACTCAGGGAGGGTTTTGTAGATTTTTAAGACAGCGGAGGGGGTTGGAGGTCCAGTCAGCGTGGGCAATGTGCTCTAGTCCTGTGATGATGCCAGTGGCAGGACCCGAGTAGATGGCTCTGGGATGTATCTGGGGAAACCAGGTCCAAGGTCAGTAACCAAATTTCAGAGTCTCAAATAAAAAAAAAAAAAAAAAAAGCAAAGAGTTAACCAGGGAGAAATAAAGGAGAAGGGGAAGTAGCAAAGGAGGCAGAAGTAACAAAAGGAAGGATATGTCAGCAAGGTGTGTGTGCCCACAGGGGTGGGAGTAAGGGGAGGGAGGGAGGTGTGGGCCTTGATGTGGGAATTTGGATGTGGAGGGAGGCTTAACCCAGCCTCCTTAGATGTGATCTGCAGGAGGTCCACGATTCTGTGACCCGGTGCTAAGTATGGTGTTGATAGTCATTTTACCTGGGAGGAAAATCCATAGCTTTGATCTGATGCTCAGAGGCATCTGTGACTTTTAATATGCGGGAAACGTATTTATACGTTTTACGTTGACTGTAAGAAGTAGAGCCACCTGTTAGCGCGCGATAAAAACTACCCGCAAACAATGTATTAATAGGGTCAAGTCAGAGTTGGGGCAAAGATAATCAGATGGGAGATGTAAAGATCTTTCTAGTTGCTGTAATGCTGGATGCACGAGGGCAGGGAGAACGGGAGAGTGGAGGTAGGGGAGCGTGAGGAGGGGAGAAAGGACCGTGGGCTGCATAAAGGCGGTAGCAGAGGGACAGAGGGAAATGGACAGCCTGGAGAGATTTTTCAATACAGGATGTGGGGCTCAGCGAGGAAGGAAGCAGCCCCGGTGCGTGGTTCGGGTGCCTGGGAGGATGGTGGGGGGCGTCGTGAACAGGGACACCTTCGTGCTTTCAGGGCTATGGGATCCAGTTTTTCGGACCCAATGAGTATTACGAAGGTGAGTGGTGTAGCGACCAGCGCAGCGGGTGGGGCCGCATGTACTACAGCAATGGTGACATCTTCGAGGGCCAATGGTGGAACGACAAGCCGGACGGGGAGGGCATGCCGCCTGAGTGTGAGTGCCCCGCCCCCCCCCCCCCCCCCCCCCCCCCCCACCCCCC